TCTGGCACCTTTTACCCTCTTCTTACTACTAATTTATTCTTTTGAATCCTTTGTCAGGTACATACCACTCAGTGCCAACAGGTCTGCGAAAAGGAGAGCCACCAAGGCCCAACAGAGTAACCTCCGTGGCCTCTGCCTTCTTACTGTGGCTGCCATCGTGACCCTTGCAGAGAAGGAAAAACACTTGTAACTGGATGCTCTGAGTGAAGGAGGAAACAAAACCACATCCCAGAACAGACAAGCTCTAAGATTCCTATCTGCTGCACTTCTGGCTAAAGGGAGAGCAGCCCACACGCCTTCCCTTCCCTCCTGAGTTCAGTCATTCTAAACATCCTCCCAAGTGTCCCACATTTGGACCTAGGCAAAAGGGCCCGGATCCTTAGCTCCACCACATCTTTAGACAGACAAATAGGAAAGAGACTTGACCTTCTTTTTGTCTACACAAAGGCAAGAAACTGGTGCACCACAGCACTGTGCGCGCTGTCAGACACCTGGAGCTGGGCCAGGGACCCTGGAAACCTGTTCGACACCTGAAGCTCCCCTGGTGGTGGGGAAAGTCAGACTGGGCTTAGACAGGAACTGGAAGGTGATGACGTTGGGGATGGTTGGCATGGAAGGACCTGATCCCTCCTCTGCATCCCTTGAGTATTGCCCGGCCCACCTTCCTTGCCCATCCCACTCCTGGGCCTCGATGCCCACGCAGACGCGGTGCGGGCTAAGGTTACTGGCGGAGCCAGTGTTCACCTAAAACCTCACCTGACGACGGTGGAAGATCCCACTCCCGGAAATGGATTCGGCCCACCCCGAGCGCGAGGGGGCAACCCAGCGACCGAACTGCAGGGCCGAAGGCACCGGTATCCGTGCGGCCCTCACTCCCGCTACCGGCCCGCCCCCGAAGCTAGCACGCTGCCTCCCCTAGGAGCCGCGGCCCGGCTGCTGCTCCATCCTCACCCCCGCTCCCTCTGGCCTCCAGCTCCTGCGGCCCTCGCTCCGGGATCAACGCGGCGCGCACGTACCCACACGGCCAGCAGCACGACCCTAAGCCCAGGCCCTTCACAACTCCCCTCCGTTTGCAAACTGTTACAGTAGCCACCAACCTCTCCGCGGCGTCTCGCGCACCAGCCGGCCCCGGACGCGGCGCACGCTCATTGGCGACTTCGCTGCCCGGCCCTGCGCCGCACACCTGGCCCCACCCCTGCAGCCCGGCGCGCGCCACCATTGGGCCACGTAGTAGGCCCGCCCCTTATCCGGCTCCGCCCCCGAGGCGACCGCGGGGCCTGAGCACCAGTTGGAACAAAACCGCCGGCGCTGCCCGCGGATTGGGCCACGTCACGGTTCGCGGCCGGGTTGCTCCTCGCGGGACTTCTGCCAGCCCTAGTGCGGGGCGCTTCGTTGCTGCTGCCCAGCGAGCCGGTGCTGGCCGAGTGTTCAGACCGCTTCAAATCATGGGGGCTTCCGCGCGAAGGAATGGAATTCGTCTGCATTCGCTGCGGCGACGCCGCCCCTAAACTGTCCCGGGATTTGGCTAAACACAGAGGACCGCTGCATTACTCCAACCTTCCTGTTTCATTGAGGAAACCTCAGCCACAAAAATGATGTTCCCTGATGGACCAGAGATAAACCTTGTTTGTGATAGAACTTGGCTTTAACTCTGAACCCCATTAGTAGGAGGGACGATACTCCAATTAAAACAAGGCTTTTATTGAATTGACCATATTATATGCATCATCCATTTGTCTATTTGTTCTCTTAAGTCTGGTGTTTTCCTTTGTTTAAGTGCATGGGTCACGGAATGAAGTTACCACGCACCCATCTCCCCAGCTACTTTCACTTCTCACTCATATTAATTTATGGTCCGGTGGAAATCCGGTCCTTGAAGAATGAACAAACTCTACAGCACCGCTCCCCCCTAAAAAAAATCAGTATTCAGGTGGCATATAAATTAGAAAAACAGGGACTGGAGAGATGGCTAGCGGTGAAGAGCACTGACTGCTCTTCCACAGGATCCAGGTGCAATTCCCAGCATCTACACAGCAGCTAACAACTGTCTGTAACTCCAGTTTCAGGTGATCTGACACCCTCACACATACATGCAGGCAAAACACCAATGCACTTCAAAGACACTCAGGGCTGAACAAAACAAAACACACACACACACACACACATCAATGCACATCAAAATAAAATTAAAATCTGGCCGGGCGGTGGTGGCACACGCCTTTTTAGTCCCAGCACTTGGGAGGTAGAGGCAGACAGATGTCTGTGAGTTCGAGACCAGCCAGGTCTACAAGAGCTAGTTCCAGGACAGCCTCCAAAGCCAGAGAAACCCTGCCTTGAAAAACAAAAATCAAAAAACAAAACAACAAAAAAAATCTTAAAAGATTTTTTGCAACAAGTACATGTTTTAGTTAGAATACTGTGAAAATCAGCCCTTTTGGTTGATTGTATCCAGAACTTGACAGAAATTAAGAACAAGATTTAAAAAAAAAAGAACAAGATCTAGCAATTCTGTCCTCCTGGTCTTTAAAAGAAGGACCTGCCTGGCAGTGGTGGTACATGCCTTTAATCCCAGCACTTGGGGGGCAGAGGCAGACAAATCTCAGTGAGTTCCAGGATAGCCAGGACTGTTATACAGAGAAACCCTGTCTCAAAAAAAAAAAAAAAAAAAAAAAAAAAAAGCAAACAAGGTCCTACTACATAGTGGACAGGTACTCACTATGTAAGGTTTGTTTGGCAACTGACCATGAATTTGAGGCAACAACTTGCCTACAATTCTGCCACTTGAGTGCTGGGATTAGGAGTATTTGCCACCATGCCTATTTTATTTTGAATCTATTTGATTTTTCATTTTCGAGATTGGATCTTGAACTCACAGTACTCCTGGCTCCACCCTCAATTGATGAATTGCACAGACAATTATTTCTCAACAGTAACTTGAGTTTTGGTCAGAGGCAATAGATTGTTTCCATCTATTTGGAACAGAGACTGTGCATTTAACACTGACTGGGCCTGTAATGGGCAAGCAGTGTTCCAAATGCTAGGACTACAGAAAGGGTTATAAATTCATCTTTGTCCTCAGAGAAGCTACAATCAAATATGCCCAACGTTCTGTGCACTTTCTATCAGCTGATTGCTGATCTGGAGGCTCAATTTCCTGTTCCTAGGAGAACTGTTACCCCCAGAATACCCTTGATAGAAGCAGTGCTATTGTCATTACAGTCCTCAGTCTCCACATCTGTCCCCTTGGGAGGTGCAGCAGGTGTGAGTGCTCTGGGGAGCCACCTGTTTTGTTCTTTAACCAGAAAAGAACAGTATTTCACAACAAGGGAAAATTTCCATGTAAAGATGGCTGATTTAGATCGACCTTGGCTGATAAACTCTCTGTTAATAGAGCCCTTCTCTGACACTGCGGAAAAGAACACCACCTTCATGCAAGCATGAGGCTAAAATGACAAGATTAAAGTGAACACAAATGGAGGATGGCAACACAGGCCTGTACTTCTGGGAGTTAGGAGAATGAGATAGGATTTAGCGTTCAAGACCAGACTAGGCTACCTAGCCTGAAAGAAACCCAAAGTACACATGATATATGTGTCATTTACACAAAATTTAAAGGATGCAAACCGTTATGGACACGAGGACTGTAGTGTTCCAAATAAGTCAGCATGTAGGCTTCTAGAGGGCTGGCAAGTTATGTCTGTGTGCAATTTCAGTGGGCTCTAGCACTGGGTTTCTGTGAATCCCTGGCTGTCCTGGAATTCATAGATCCACCTGCCTCTGCCTCCTGCGTGCTAGGATTAAAGGTTTTAGACACCACCACCCAGCTGAGAACCTATTTTCAACAGAAATAGAAACCAGAGCTGTTTTCTTTTCTTTCTTTTTTTTTTTTTTGGTTTTACGAGACAGGGTTTCTCTGTATTGTTTTGGAGGCTGTCGGTCCAGCCTGGCCTCGAACTCACAGAGATCCGCCTGCCTCTGCCTCCCGAGTGCTGGGATTAAAGGCGTGCGCCACCAACGCCCGTCCAGAGCTGTTTTCTATGCTGTTAGAATACAGAGAAAAAAAAATTATGCCTTGACTATTGAATAAAAGTGGGGAACTGCCAAAAAAAAAAAAAAAAAGACCGGGCATTGGTGGCACAAGCCTTTAATCCCAGCACTTGGGAGGCAGAGGCAGGCGGATCTCTGTGAGTTCGAGGCCAGTCTGGTCTACAAGAGCTAGTTCCAGGACAGCCTTCAAAGCCACAGAGAAACCCTGTCTCGAAAAACCAAAAAAAAAAAAAAAAGTGGGGAACTGGAGAAATGGCTCAGAGGTTAAGAACATTGACTGCTCCTCCAGAGGTCCTGAGTTCAAGTCCCAGCAACTACATGGTGGCTCACTATCATCCTTGAGATCTGGCACCCTCTTCTGGCTGCAGGCAAACATGCAGACATAGCACTGTATACTTAATAAAATAAATCTTAAACAAAAACCTGGAAAAGCATAAGAGAAAAATGCAAAAACAAAATCCCAGCACTCAGGAGGCAGAAGCAGGTGGATCTTGCCTGGTCCTCTGGAATAACAGTCAGTGTTCTTCAAAGCCGGATTGCTTATGTTCTTAGTATTTGATTCTTTATTTGTTCTTGTTTATATGAGATAAAGTCTAACTATGTATCCAATGATGGCTTGGAACTCTCAGCAGCCCTCTTGCTTAGCTTCCCTGTTACTGCTCTAGTTGGCAGGTGAACCTGGGAGAGTAGCGCCTGAAAATGAGGCAGACAGAAGTCTCCTGCAATAGCCAGATTTATTCAGAGCATCAGGCAGTTTATATTCAGAGGGCTCAACAATGTCATATAAGCAAAGTTCACTTGAGTTCAGACTGTATACACTTACAAGGGCAAGGCATGTTCATGTGAGTTTAGAGTGTATACAGTCACAAGGACAACCAATGCAGTGTATAATCCCTAACAAACCCATTCCTGTGTACTACACCTGGGAAGGACAAGGAACTGTAACAAGTCTGTTAAGAGTTTTGGAAATTTATTTATGCATAGGATAGGACACACACATGATACAGAACCAGTTAGATGCCACCACTGATCAGCTGCCTTCATCCAGTCTGCCCAGGAGTAAAAAAAGAGCACCAACAGCAAGCCGCCTCTTACTCCAAGAAAGGGAGAGAGTTTGTGGCCCCAAAAGTCATTGGCTAGGCCGGGCGTTGGTGGCGCACGCCTTTAATCCCAGCACTCGGGAGGCAGAGGCAGGCGGATCTCTGTGAGTTCGAGGCCAGCCTGGTTTACAGAGCGAGTTCCAGGACAGCCTCCAAAGCCACAGAGAAACCCTGTCTTGAAAAACCAAAAAAAAAAAAAAAAAGTCATTGGCTAAACTGATGGAAATCCCCAACACTTCCCCTTTCTTTCTAAATAAGTTCTTCTAATCCTAACAAAACTAACAAAACTATTTACAATAAGAACAAGTATCAAGTATTGTGTAGAACAGGTAATAGCATAAACAAAAATAAAACTACAACCAACAAGTACATCAAGCAAGGATGTCCAGGCCATGGGTAAGTGGCAAATTAAAGATTTCTCCAATAGCTGTCCTATCATGGAAAGTCCAAGTCTTGTACCTAACATGCCCTAGCTAAGGTATGTAACTATCTAGTCTTCAACCCCATCAAAGACCTGAGAAGGAAAATAATACCTCAGTAAGCAGGAAATGCAAGTAAGCGACTTCCAAAAGATGCAAGAAATAACAGAGGTATAAATGCATAGTGCAATATGACAAAAAAATCCTTAATTTGTATCAACATACAAAATATCTTGAACAGAAGTAGAAAGATGTATAAAATGACAATAATTTTACATTTTTTTCTGTCAACAGAAAATTATAAGCAGAAATTATCATAAACAGGAATGGAAAAATAATTTTACATTTGTATCAATATACAAGAATCCACACCATTGCAAATTATCTAAAACTGATCGTTGTATTTCAAGTTACAAGTAGATACAATAATCCACCTTATTGTGATAGCCTGTCTATCCCTCTTTTCTCCTTTATTCCCCCACACCTAGTCCTATAACAACTTGCAACCAACCCTTACAGATGACAACTATCCACAACCCTGAGAAAAACCAAAAACCCACCCGCCCCACCTATGGGAGAGGGGGCGGTGCATTCTTAGAATTGCTTCCTGCTGTCCAGGGGACCACGGTTTCCCTATGGGATCCCATAAGAAAAGTAAAGCAATGGAGTTCTAGATGTAACATTTGTAGCCAGTCTTTGAAGTTCTTATCTGAAGTTTCTGGCTAGTGTTTTAAGAAGGTGGAGAATCTCAGCTAGCCACCTTGGAACTGTCTCGAGCAGTTTGTAGTCCCAAGCCGATCTTTGAGTGGTGTTTATGAGCCAGGTAGAATAGTTGTGGGCCCTATCTTCCTTCTGGAGACTTCAAGTTTGGTTTTCTTTTGTCCCACACCAGGTGGCTCTTCTGATGAGACAGAAACTCTGAATTTTTCTTTTAACAACTTCTTGGATTTAGAGGAGAGAGCCTAACTCCAAAGCCAGCCTTAGTTTTTTTCTTTTCCTTTAATTCCAGCACTGGAGTGGAATATAAGGTGAGTGGGATCAGGAGGTCAGAACAGTCTGAGCTTTGGTGGAGACAGATGCAGTCAGATTCAGTCTGAGGTAGCGGAGTTAGTGACTGGCTGCTTTGCTCCTCTGATCTTCAGCTTTAACCCCAGTATCTGTCTCTGAGTTTCTATTAATACCAACCAGAATTCAACCCTCTAGTTTTATGAGGTACCACTGAGGTTGACTTCTTTACGACTTCTTCTGTCTCTGTCTGATCGTTAACAAGTTCTTCTAGGGCTTGGAATCTATGAGTAGTTGCTTCTTGTAATGTCTTCACCTCTTTAATAGTGAGTGCTTCTAAAGCCTTCATTAAACCAGTATGCTTCTTGTTTTCCTCATTCACGTATGTCTCTAAACTTTTCAACTTGTTTCTCAAGTCTGCTTTGTCTTCCTTATTGATTATCTGTTCGGCATGCAAATGACTTTCTAAATTCAGAACTCTTTCTAATAACTTGTCATAACTTTTTTCCATTGCCTGCAGTTTATCAGCCAATTTCTCATTGCCATGTTGCAAAGTCAGTACCATCTTTGTCAGAGTCTCATTTTTAGCACTGTCATCAAACCACTTTCTAAAGGATAGGGTATGAATTACCAGACTAATAACAATTATAACTAAAAATATATCCATCACAGCTAGGTTGCGTATCTCTCTTAGCATTCCACCAATAGCAGAAATGAGCAGATCTCCACTTCCGTGAAAAGTGATGTTACCCGCCATTGGCGTGGAAATTTTAAAAAATTATTTATTAATCAATCGAAAATTTAAAGTTATCAAATAAATTACCTCCGTTAAAATCCTCTCTGAAGATTGTCCTGGGTGTGATAATCTCGATCGACCCGCAAGCACACGATTTTAGGCTGTAATAACGATGTTTGGTCAGCAGATGTCGCAGGTGTGGCGCCAAGGAAGAACTCTGCTCAGGCTTTGACCGACCCGTATTTCTAAGCAGAACTGAAACTACAATAAACAATTTTGGTCAGAGAGAGTCTCAGGAGGAGTGCTGGGTGGGCCCGCTGCTAGCCGGAGCCGAGCCTGTAGGAGGCTCGGAGCGGGGCGGGATATAGCGGCTGCAATCACTGCTGCGCACAGTCGGCCCGACTGTGGCCTCCACTCAGGCACAAGCCCGCACGTGCCGCAGCTGCAAGAGGGATCCGGAGTCGTGTGCGGCTGCTCCTCCAATGGCGGGAGAGGCCGAGGCGGAAGGCAGCTCGGAGACTAAGGAGCGCGGGCGCCACAAGCCGCTCTGAGCCGGGTGGGACCACGCCAGCAACTCCGGGCTGGGACAAATGCGACCACGGAATGCCTCTGGCGCGGTGGAGCTGCGAGCGCTACCTTCCTCCTGACCCAGAGCTCTCGTGAGCTCGAGCCGGGTTTTTGCTGGCTTTTCTCGTCCTAGCTGGATCGGCTCCGCGCAAATAAGAACCGTGCGTGACGGAGGAGAGCTGGGGAGCTGGCGAGAAGCTCCCGGGAGCTGGGCGGGAGCGCAGGGAGCTCCTGGGCCTCGGGGCAGACGCGCGGGGAGCTCCGGAGCCGAGGGGCTGGCGCTCCGAGAGCGCCGGGGAGGCCTCGGGGGCGCGCGAGCGCAGGCGGACACGTCTGTTCAGATGGGCGCCAGACGATGAAGGGAGTCAAAGGATTGCTTTACCGGTTGTTAGCAAGCAAAATTCGTGCGGTAATCACAAGAGAGGACGGAGAACGCTAACAGGTCACGAGCTGCTCCGCCGCGGCAACCACGCTCCTTCCAGATTTTAAAAAGCCCGCGCATCCCTCGGCTCCGACTTCCCACTCGAAACTCCGCCCTATGGACCCAACTGCCCTTTTCATTGGCTAGCGGACGGGCGACAGAATTCCGGTGACAAAGAACAACTCGTGTTATGGAGTAACGGCGATTACTCTACTCTTGTTTTCTTGGGGTTTTCTCCCAAACTCTCACAGAATTCTCCTCACACAGCTGTATTGGTGGACATTCTCTGATATTCCCACATGCTGAAATTATGTATGTGAACTGCCATAGCCCCACCCCCCCTTCGCTCAGACAGTGTTTCTCCGTGTACAGGAGCTTGGTTTGCAGACCAGGCTGGCCTTGAACTCACAAGGTCACCTTCCTCTACCTCCCCAGTGCTGGGACCGAAAGCGCCACTACCGTAATGCTTTATCACAGTAACTCTGAAGCTAATGTAGGACTACACAGTGAGATTGAGACCAGTTTTCACTAAATGAGAAGACAATAAATCAAGAAAAATTTTTTTTGGTTTTTCGAGACAGGGTTTCCCTGTGGCTTTGGAGGCTGTCCTGGAACTCGCTTGGTAGACCAGGCTGGCCTCGAACTCACAGTGATCCGCCTGCCTCTGCCTCCCGAGTGCTGGGATTAAAGGCGTGCGCCAACCAACGCCCGGCCTAGAAAAAAAATTTTTTTCGAGACAGGATTTCTCTGTGTATACCGGCTGTCCTGGAACTCATTTAGTAGAGCAGGCTGGCCTTGAATTCACTGATATCAACCAAACTCTGCCTCACAAGTGCTGAAACTAGGCATGTGTCACCACCCCCAGCTTTACGTCACTGATTCATAACAATAGCAAAATTAAAGGCAATGTGCTACCACCACCCTGCTAACTTTTTTTTTTTAAATAGGAGCTAGCTGGGTGGTGGTGGTGCATGCCTTTAATCTCAGCACTCAGGAGGCAGAGGCAGGCAGATCTCTATGAGTTTGAGGCCAGCCTGGTCTACACAGCAAATTCCAGGACAGGCTCCAAAGTTACAGAGAAACCCTGCTTTGAAAAGCCAAAAAGAAAAAGAAAAGAAGGTTCCTGTGACCCTCCTGTCTCAGCCTAGCAAATACTGGGATCATGGACTTTTTTTCCAAGACAGGGTTTCTCTGTGTAGTCCTTGCTGTTCTGGAACTTGATCTGTAGACCAGGATGGCCTGGAACTCAGAGATCCACTTGCCTCTGCCTCTGAGTGCTCAGATTAAAAGTGGGAGCCACCACCACCTGCCCACAATACTCTTGAGAGTATGTTTGGAGGTTCTAGTAGGGAGCTGGGCTACTCTTTTTTTTAATTAATTAATTTGTTTATTATTTATTTATTTATTGGTCCATCCATCCATTTATTCATTTGTTTACAGTGAAAGAGGGCTCTCTAAACAAAATGATTCTTTTTGGCAAAAATAAAAGCCCCAACCCCAGGGGACCAGGAATTCCACTGTGCCCTCCTAACCAACACCAAGAACAGGAACTAGTATGGGAGCTAGTAGGGGAGAAATGGCAATGTCATTAAGCATCTGCTCCTCCAGAAGTTGTATTCCCTAGATCAGGCATTTTGTATAAGGGCCTCCTCCTTTCATTCCCTTGGAAGGAACTCAATGGCCTTCCCATTAACCGGGCAGAGTTGGTGCACGCCTTTAATCCCAGTGCTCAGCTCACTATCTCAGTGAGTCCGAGACCATCCTAGTCTAAAACAGCCACAGCCAAGACTACACAGAGAAATCTGTGGGAACACCAGACCTTGAGCAGAGACCCACTTCCCCTTCTGCCTGGGAGTAGGCAGCTGTAAGACAATGTTTAGTAAAAACATGTTTACTAAAAACGATACAATGCCCGGGGCAATAAGTTCCTGGAAAAGGTCGACCTTGTCCAAAGACTAACCGCACCTTCAGACCCACCCACATCCACCTCTGGGGGCAGAGCAGAACCAGCCAGGGTAGAGGAGAGAGCAGAAGCTTCTCTGGCGGGAGCCTTTCTTAGGAGGTTTTCTTGAACCTTTTTGGAGCCTGTTTAAAGTTTTCTTTATATCGTTGAACGAGTCGCTGTGTTGTCAATCCCCGACACCCTCCGCACGTTCTCGGACACAGGCCGAAAAGCAAACGTGACAAAATCGAGTCTCAAAAAAATAAAAAATCAAAAATCAAAACAAACAACAACAAAGAGAAATGCCTAATGATCACTGGTGCCTGTCGTAAGACCCACCCAGAGTTCATATTCCCCTTGTCTCCCGTTTAATACTAGGTGCAACTATATTTTCTCAATGAAATGCTACTGGCAGAATCTTGATTCACCCCCAGATCGTGGCAGTCTCCTCCTTCTCTCCTCTGACTCCACACAGCCTCTTGGGACCTGTATCTCCTGAGTGAAGCAGGAGTCTTCCTTCTTATGTTGGGGTGATGAAGTTTCTTCTTCTTTTGCATGTCGCAGACAGGCTGGTGTATACTACAGAGGCAGGTGGATCTCAGTGTTTTCTGTTTGTGCCTATGCATGTGCACATGCTTCCCTTTTAGCCCCCAGCAGGAGTGAGTTGGAGGCCAGCGTGTTCTTCTCAGACAGATGTTTCCAGGATAGCCAGACACACACACAGGGCTTCTATATTGTCCTGAAAGTTATCCTTGGTGATAGTGTTGCATGATTGCCATATACTTCCTGAGATACCTGCACACTCCATTCACAAGCCTTAAGTTTTCCCCTGGGCTACTCTTAATGCTTGAACTGAGAAATGGTCCTCCTCTGTCCTAAACGGTCAGAGCCTTCAAGTGAACATGTTTCAGGAGGACCACACATGCAGTGATGAGAGAAGAAGGGGACATCTGCCTAGACAACCAAATTGGGTAAATCCATCCTGGTGAACAAGATGTCAATGGTCACATCCTCACAATGCTTCTTTTGACACAAACTCCTCAAGGCTCCCTCTGGTGCACAAACAAGACACAGAGCATTCTCTACACAGCTGGGTTGGTCAGCATTGCTAGAACAGCCAAGGAATACCCTGACTTGCCACTTATGGAATCAGTCTGCTCTCAGCAGGGGGTGGGGTGGATGGGGGGTGGCGCACGCCTTTAGTCCCAGCATCAGGAGGCAGAGGCAGGTGGATCTCTGTGAGTTCGAGGTGGTCTCAGAGCGAGTTCCAGGACAGCCTCCAAAGCCACAGAGAAACCCTGTTTCAAGTAAATAAATAAGTAGACAAATAAATTAAAAATCACTCTGCTCTCAAAGCTGTCACTCCTGGTCTTTCTACTGTCCCCTGCCCCACATCCTGCTCTAAAGAAAAGGTGAGAAGGCTAACAGTGTCTTAGGAGGATCCATTTCATCAGTACTCCCATCTCAACATGTTTTGAATGTATCAGGTGCTACACACTTTGATAGATGCACAAAACTGAATATACAACACAAGGGTGATTCAAAATGTGCCAGTGACCGATACAAATTTTTATTTCTGTTTTCCATCAGTTGAAAAATCAGTTTTGTGTAGCTGCTTTCATTTATGACCTAAAATATTTCTGACAGGTTAAAAACATAACTCACTTAGGCACAGCAAGATATAATTCACAAAATTCATGACATTCTTCAAGAGCCATCAGTGCCTATTTTACTGATTTGTCCACTCGCCCTCACCCCTCTGCAAAACAAGACAAAACCCAAAGTTTACTTTGTTGGAGTAAGATTTCCCATTGGTACACAGGAACATAAAGAGACCTGCATAGAAATTACATACTGTCTAGTTGCTTATTGATGGACTAGTTCCATTTGTAAGGGGTTTTATTCTTTTTTTTTTCATTTTGTTTATGTGTGTTTTGCTTACACATCAGTCTGTGTGAGGGTGTCAGATACCATGGAACTGGAGGTACAGACAGTTGTGAGAGGCCATGTGGGTGCTGGAAATTGAACTTGGGTCATCTGGAAGAGCAGACAGTACTCTTAAATATTGCGCCATCTCTCCAGCCCCCTTCATTTGTAAAGTTTTATATATCAAAAAAGCTTTGAATTTGACCAGGCTGATTTTTAACCACTTTTGAAAAGGAGGCGTTTAATATCAGCTCTATTCAACATTAAAAAGCTAATGCATTCATTGAGTAGCTTCCCAAAACATTACTCTCTGCACCGCAACACCGAACAGGGCTGAGTATTTTACTTTTGAGAGGGCTGAGTATTTTACTTTTGAGACACAGTCTCGCTGTGGAGGGCAAGCTAGCCGCGAAACGCTCCGCCACACGTCTGAAGGGGAAAATCTCAGAGCTGAAGGACCCTGGAACTCCGAACGAGATCAAAGCACTAGGGAGCAACCCAGCAAGCTCCACCCCCAGAGCTTTGTGGAGCAGGCACCGCCTACTCAAGGGCGCCTGTGCGCGCATGCTCCTGGAGGCTGCCTCTCACATGACTCGCCTGTGCTGTTCACGTGATGTTGCTTCCGGAGGCGGGGGCCCGCGGCCAAGATGGCGGCCTACCTTCAGTGGCGGCGCTTCGTCTTCTTCGAGAAGGAGCTGGTGAAGGAGCCGCTGGGTAATGATGGGGCCGCTCCCGGGGCCGCGCCGGCCTCTGGATCCACTGCTTCCAAGTTCCTTTGCCTCCCTCCGGGCATCACTGTCTGCGACTCCGGTCGCGGGAGCCTGGTCTTTGGAGATATCCTTCTTGTGGAGCTGTCCCTTTCCTCCACGGAAGCCCGAAGAGGTTCCTCCAGCTGGAATGGAATCTGTCAGTGGTGCTTTGTGCACTCGCAATTAGATGCGAGCCCAGGCCTCTTCTGTGGTCTGACGGGAGAAAGAAGGAAGTCCATTTTCTAACTTGTCAACTGAGCAGTCCTGGGCAAGTCATTTCACTCTCGGCTTCAGTTTCCTTTTCTGTGGAAGGTTGTTAATGCCAATGTGACAAGGTTAAGATGAGTTAGCTCCCAAGCAGATGCAACTTGCCTTTAAAAGGTGTGTGTGTTAGGTGTTACCTTCCCTGTCTGATATTGTGGGCAAGGAGACAACTCAGACAAGGAGTCCATTTGCTTTGTTCACAAGATACATGGGGAAAGCCCTTGGAGTTTTTAAAGAGGCTATGTGCATGTTCATTGACAA